AAGGGAGGGTCTAGCAGGGACCAAGATTAGGAGTAAGAACACTGAGCCTTCAGATAAGGGATGGTTGTGAGGGATTCAGGTGAGCCGAGAATCCCATCACGTTTCACCAGAGAGGCGATGAGAGCGTGAGAACGGCGGGCCGGGCATCCGTAGGTGCACTTCCGCCTCCGTCCGGTTCGTGAGACTCGCTGTGTCCTGGATTTGACGATAGGGGCACGGACGTCATGAGACAGAGGCAGAGGGTAGGGAGAGCGGTAGGTTGATCCTGCAAATTGTGGTTTTGGTACCTTAACTGGTTAGAAATTTAGAAATGAATATGCCAAATTCTCTTCGTTATGGTCTAGTAACTCCTGGAGTGAGGGGGCTACGTAAACCGTGGAGTGTCCTCTCCCGCCTGCCCTGGGAGGTGGAAGTGGAGAAATTCTTAACAAGAGAGAAACTGAATCCTACTTGAGGTTTTCAGAAGGAGCCCAGGACAAGACAAGGGGAAAGGGATTGCGATACGAAAAAGAAACATAGCTTGCAAGTAGGTAAGATTAAAAAAAAGAGAGAGAGAAATGAAACCATTTTAGTGACACTACAGAGATCCAGGATTTTGTGTAAATTATGTAAATATTATGTACATATGAAGCTCAGAATGAGCTCATCCCTGAAGTCATTCTAGAGCAGCACTTTCCCATAGAAATACAGTGCAAACCACAGATGATTGTAAATTTTCTAGTAGCCACATTGAAAACGTAAAAAGAAATCGGCGACATTTTTATTAATTTTTTAAGTAACCAAAAATATTATTTCAACATATAATATATAAAAAATTACTAATGAGATTCTTTACATTATTTTCTCTGTACTAAGTCTTCAGAATCCCATGTGTATTTTACCGCATCTCAATTTGGACTAGCTACATTTCAAGTGTCCGATAGTCACATGTGGCTAGTGGTTAAACATATGCGACAGGGCATGTAGTTCTAGGAGGTGCATCTTTCTGATTTGGCCTTTGAATCACCCAAGATTATCACATCAATTGTCATGTAAACTCTGGACTTTACCCGAAGGGTTCAAGGATCTATAGCTAGTTTCTTGTCAAAGTAGTGGTGCCAAGGTGGAACTATATAAATATCCAGATAGCTACAGGTATTATTGTTTAAATGGTAGCTATATAATAAATTTTTTTTCTGCAACTGTTTGCAGAAAGTGGTTCAGTGAAGATAACGGGTGCAGGGGAGAGCATGGTAGTTTCTGGAGGCAGCTTAAGCTGGTGGTTAGTTAAGAATGCTGAATCTGTGGAACATCTCATCTGCCGAATCAATTAGTCCTGAAAAATTTTTAAGTTTTTTAAAAATTAGAAAAAAAAAGAATGCTGAGTATGGAGCCAGCCTGCTTATATCCTGGCTCTACCATGGCTAACTGGGAATACGGCAAGTTACTAACCAGTCTGTACTTCAGTTTCCCCATGTGAAAAGGGGGGCAGTAATACCACCTCTCGCCATAGAGCTGTGAGGAATAGCTGAGGTTATCCATGTAAAGCACTCACTGCAAGGTAAGTTCTTAATAGTACTTTCAAACATCAAAGATTGCTTTTGCCGAAAATGTAAAACAGCTGTTGGGAGATACAACCCTCCAAGAAGATGGATCTTTTCAACCTCAATTGTGGTGTATGGTGAGGGAAATTTTCTAAGCGGAAAACGAGCATTGCATGCATTAAATGAGACCCTGGTGTTCAACATTTGCCCAGTGGACAAAAAGAAAGGCTTTCAAGATTTGCAGGGGCAGGTCCTGCCCAAGATGAGAGGATATAGACTGCAGGAGCTTCCTTATATTCCAAATATATGTTCTCCAAAGCATGGTTAAAACAATCGATTGCTCTGTAATAATTTTTGTGATTTTGAGGTTGCCTTTTTTCCAGTGGGGTATTTTTTTTTCAGAGGTGGGAAGTTGTGCATTTTCAGTGAACAATAATTACAATAAATACTATTTTTTCACTGCTTACTATGTGCGGGCTATTAAGATGAAATATCATGTAATCCCCACAGTCAATCTACTAGATGGATAGTATTCTTTTCCCTGTTTTATAAATAAAGAAATGGAGGCTCAGGTTTAGGCAGCATTGGAATTGCATGATTTTGCAAAGTTACACAGTTTGGATCCAGAATAAGTGAAAGGGTTGGGTAATTTAATCATAAGTGCCTGGGAAATGGGGTTAGGTCTAAAGATTTAAGTAGCAGACACTTCCAGGAGGAGGGGAAGTGGCCAGAACATCTTTGTTCCAGATTTCTCCTTGAAGCAAAGACTAAAATTTTCCCCAAAAGAGAGTGAGTTTAAATAGTAGAGTGGATTGAACATCTTTGTCCTCATTTAATGAGGGTCTGCTCTCCTCCCAGGCATAAAATAGGTCTTCTTTAACTTGTCTTTCTTTCTCATCTTCTCAGGGAAAGGTAATTACTGGACGCTGGACCCAAACTGTGAGAAAATGTTTGACAATGGGAACTTCCGTCGGAAGCGAAAGCGCCGCTCTGAGGCCAGCAGCAGTTCCACACTGGCTCCCGGGACATCAAAATCAGAAGAAGGGCTCTCCTCAGGATTGGGGTCTGCAGTAGCGGGGAAGCCAGAAGGAGATAGCCCCTCCTCTCTGCTGAGGCCTTCTCAGTCCCCAGAGCCTCCCGAGGGCACCAAGAGTACTGCTTCCTCTCCTGGAGGATCCGTGCTCACCTCCACCCCTTGCCTCAACACGTTCTTCAGCAGTCTCAGCACCTTGAGTGTCAGCAGCAGCGGGAATGCCCAGCGAGCTCTCCCTGGCAGCCGCCACCTAGGAATCCAGGGGGCCCAGCTGCCCTCCAGCGGCACATTCCCCCCCACCTCCATCTCAGAAGCCTCACCAGATGCCTTGCAGCTGAGTAACAGCACCGGCAACAGCAGCAGCCAGAGATCTTCTTATTACAGCCCTTTCGCTGCCAGCACCAGTGGGGGCCAGAGCAGCCCCTTCGGCAGCCCCTTCTACAACTTCAGCATGGTCAACAGCCTCATCTACCCCCGGGAGGGCTCTGAGGTGTAGAGGAGTGCTTCTCAGACCTCACTCAGTATGCACACCCGAGATATGCACACATTCTGGTTAGAATGCAGGGTCCAAGTCTGGGAAAGGACCTGAGGTTCTGCATTTCTGTGGAGCTCCTGGGAGATGTTATGGTCCTTTGAGCACATGTGGAGTAACAAGGGTGTATGTAGTAGGTAACTCTGTCTACAATCCAGTGAGCTTTTACAGGTTTCTCTGGATATGGGCCTCTCTAGAGAGAAAGCCATCTCACTGTGTTCTGGGAAAGGTAGCCTGTGAGCCCAGGGAGGGCAGTGACCATGTCTGTTTTGTTCATCACTGTATTCCAGGGTTGCAAGCTCAAATGTGTACAGGTGACTAAAAACCATAAACTAATGAAGTTACTGGTTGAGAAAACCAACAGCAATTGGCAACTGAGCCAGTAAAGAATGGTTGGGGCTGATCAGCTGAAGGCTGCTGTGAGGAACTGGTTGTCTCTCACGTAACAGCATTCTGATTTTTTTTTTTTTTTT